AGGAAGTGAGGGAGGCCCCCAGACAATAGCCCATGAGGCACTGAGACCCTCAGTCCAAATATCTGTGCGGAGCTGAATCCTGACCGTGCCCGCTGGTGTGGACTTAGACACAGATCCAGCCCCTGCTGAGCCTTGAGGCGACACCACAGCCCCAGCTGACCTTCTCAGCCAGGGGCCCCGCCTAAGCTGCACCTGGCTTCCTGACCCACAGAAACTGACGTACTAAAAACATGCTGTCTGAAGCTTCTACGTTTTGAGATGGCTTGTTATATGGCAGTAAATAACTAATGCAGGGAGGGGATAGGGAAAGGAATCAGGACAAGTAGCAGAAGATATCCGTAGGAGCACAGACCTTGAAGAACCTTAGCCATGCCTTATGTAAATGAGCACATTTATAGGTAAGAGAAGGCTAAAATATTCATTTGTCACTGAGCTGGGTCTGGTCAGATAAATGGACCTCTTTCTCTCTGTCTAGAACTCTTTCTGCTGGCATACAAACTGTTGAAGGTTGTCACTCAATTTCTTTGGGATTTAAAGTATGGATTTAGAAAGCACTTATATCTTTCGCTGAGGATGTGTTTAAATATGTTCCTTTTGTTTCAGGACCATATTACATTATACAGCCCTGGGGTGTAGGTCAGCGAGTGGTGAATCTGAGCTATTTCTCTACAAGAGGATATTTTCAAAGTCCTGTTTATAGCTCACTGGGTGACCTTGAGGGTCAGTTGATGGGCCAGGAACAAATTCATAATGCAGATTTTTCCTTTCATCCTTCCAGGCGAAAGGCTCGGGTTTCCATGAGCTTTTGTTTTGACTTCAGACTGAGGCCTATTCGTTATTAACCTACTCAGTGAGTGATTAACAGACCACCAGCTCAGGCCTGAGATTCATCTGTCTCTGAAGGGGCCTGGCTGCCTCACACACTTGACAATATCACACAGCTCCCACTGCGCACACGCTCAAGCAGACGGTGTCGATTCCCCTGTTCCCGAGCGGAGGGACGCCCTGTTATCAGCGAGTCAGCAGGGTGGTCCTGAGTACGCTGTGATTTTCAATCGCTTCTCTCCTTGCTTTGTAATTAGCGGCGCCTTCCTGTTTAGCTGCACCATTTATCAATTTAGTTTGGTGGGGGAGTGGTTTGGTTAATTTTACAATGTTCTGGTTAACCCTGCAGTATTTTCAAGCGTGAATGTGTTGCAGTTTAAAAGGAGCCGTCATGCATCCCTGACCAAGCAAATGTATGGACTTGCGTGATGGTGGCGTTTTACTGGTAGCACTCCTTCGTTTGTTTCAGTTGCAAAGTGGAACCTTTGGTCCTATGGCTTTTGTCCCACTGAAGTAATCCTCGTACCAAAGAGTCTGAGAGCATGTAATGGCTTAGTTATCCTGCTTAGGTTCTGGCCCATGTCTCCAGATGAAATTGGATGCACATTTTCCATGCAAAGACTCAGCAAGATTTGAGTCCTGCCCACCCCTCTAACTCTAGCTTCATCCTCCACCTGTTCCATGAACCTTCTTACGGGTCACATTGTTCCCTCCAGTCAAATTCACGTGCTGAAATCCTAACAACCCCAGTGCCTCCGAATGTGACTTCATTTGAAGACAAGCTCTTTAAAGAGGCCGTAAAGTTAAAATGAGATCATTAGGGTGAACTCTAATCCAAAGCAAATGGTGTCCTTATAGGAAGAGAAAACTTGAACCCAGACACACACTGGGGGAAGACCATGTGAAGACGCAGGAGGAAGGTGACCACCCACAAGCCGAGAAGGGAGGCCTCAGAAGAAACCAGACATGCCGACACCCTGATCTCAGGCTTCTAGCCTCCAAAACTGTGAGGAGGTACGCTTCTGTCATTTAAGCCACTCAATCTGTGATATTCTTTTAGGGCAGTCCAAGCACATAGCCTCTGCGTGGTCCCGCACACAGTGGGCTGCTCAGCGGTCAGGGAGCACAGTAGGGCTTCACTCCAGTAGGACGTTTCAGGCTTGAATCCCGGCTCTGCTGATTATTAGCTCCTTTAAGTCACTTGACCTCGAGCAAGTTCCTAGTGTCTCTCTGCCTCTATTTCCCATCTATGAAGCAATAATAGCGCCTGCCTCATAGGGCTGTCTAAGTTAAATTAATAAGTAGTATGTAAGCGTTGGCTTTATCATTCACTTGAAGAGTGTCTTTTGAGGACCCACTATTGCCAGGCATTGTACTCAGTGCTGAAATATCATGGGGAACAAAATAGCTTGGTAGACCAGTTGACCACTTTTGATTTTTTATATATATATATAAAATATATATATATATAATATCCCCGCCCCCCACCTCTTTCTCTCTATTTGGAATATCTTACTTATCTCTCCCAGCCATCGCTCTTTTTAACTTATTTATTTGGGAGGATTGTCTCAGGGCTCGTCTCCTTTGGGCTGGCCCCTCCTCTGGCTCCTATAGTGTCCCATATCAACTTCTGACAGCCTTACCACCTTGAACTGGCTCCCACTGGCCAGGGCAGGAACTCAGTGGTGCTCATCTTGGAGCCCCCGGCCCTCAGCCCAGCGCCAGTGGCTTGGCAGAGTGTCCAACACATCCCTCTCACACTGACCTGGAAGAGTCGTTCTTGTCACTGTCAGCTCTCCACTGCTCATCCTTGGGCTGTTCTGCCGATCTGTCCTCATCATCACTATTCGGAGTCTTTGCTGGGCCCCTGCTAGCTGGACTGTGGCGCCTGGCAGAGTGGGCCCAGTCCTCAGCTTAATCCAACGCAAGTCAGCTGAGCAGATGCTGACAGCCATCCAGCTAAGATCCAGGTAAGACCGAGTTGTGAAGATAGAATGGGAGTTCAGAAGCCATCCCATTCGTCTCCGTGCCCACAAAGAATCCTTCCAAAGTGTCCTTACCAGGCGGTCGGCCAGCTTCTGTCACTGCATGTGACCACCAAGTTAGTTCATCCCATTCTTGGTGGCCCCAAATGTCCACCTCTTCTTCTTCACCCTGTTCTCAAAGATATCATGGTGAATTGCAGGTGTGTGTCAGGGGACCCCAGTCAAACCTAACTCTCTACCTATATCAGTGGATGTCACTTACTTAATGTCTGTGTTTGACTCTTCATGTTTAATCTTTGTAATATCTATGGGATGAACCTTATTATCCCTATTTTACAGATAGGAAAAATCAGGCCCCAAATGGGCTCAGTCTGAGGAAGCTACCCACCAAAATCACACCGCTGATAGGTGGTAGGATGGGGATTGGTCTCCTGTTTGGCTGACTCCCACATACGGGTTCTGGGAAGTCTCCCACGCTGTCTCCCGTATCGCCCTCAACCTCCAGGGATGATGGAGGCTGACTCCACGTTTGTAGGTGGCTGGAGGGGCCCATTTCCCAAACTGAGGGCTGATAGCAGGGCAGGAAATGGGGGCCCCGCTGTTGCAAGGGCCTCGCTCGCTCTCCAGGGGCTGCGTGAGAGGCCATTCCTCCCGTCGGCCTCTAACACCCGGAATAGGGCCCTGCCCTCTGCACACCCCCAGCTCCCGATAGTCTCCTGGGCTAGTATCTCAGTGCGCCCTCGGCTGAGTTTACAAATTCACACTCAGTGTTCCTGGCAGGGTCTCTGGATGCAGACCCTGAGGTCTCCCTCTCGGGGCCAGTTGAGACTCGGCCATCAGCACTGTTGTCCATCTTCCAGTGCCCTACAGAGAGAATTTCAGAGTCCCTGGGGAAAGTGGTGTCACGGCAAGTGACCAAAGGTCTAGGAACACTCAGAGGCCCCTGGGCTGGTGTGAAACTGGGGACAGATGACCAGCAGGAAGGACTTTCATGTGGAGACAGGGAAAGGGGGCTATGATGAGGGGTATGAATCTCCCCATGCCGAGGGAAGGCAAAGAATGTGCAGCGGGGTCAGGTAGCCGCAGCTCCAGTCCAGACCCTGCCACTTACTGTGGGTGGCCTTGAGCAAGTCATTTAACTGAGACTCAGTTTCCCCATCTATATAAGGAAGATCATCACGCTTCCCCTTTAGGGTCCTTGTATAGATGACATAAACTTTTTATGCAAATGACTTAACCTGTGCAAATCTGGCAGAAATTATACAGTCAATATGTGCTTATGTCTTGGTCATGATGGTAACAAAAGTACTTCCCTCCTAGTAGTAATTAAAATAGTCACATCCTGCTGCTCCTCTGCAGTCCACAAACCCATCTCTGACCATTCTTTCCTTCCCTCTGAGACCTGCCCAGCTGGCCAAGCTGGACTGCGAATGTGGATCAGAGCAGTGGGCAACAGCAGGGGTCCAGGGGCGGCACTTAAGAGAGGTCCATTGTCATCACTGCTCTCAGTCCACGGAGGGGCGGCCGCTCGATGTGGGTGATGATGGGCTGGGAAAGTAGGTCAGTGTGTGAGACGCGGGGGCCCAGACCGGAGCTGGTAACCATGGCGCTCGGCTTCCTAGCGCATCTCTGCAGGCAGACCCCCACCCCCGCCCCCGAGCACCATAGTCCCACCCAAACCCCTTCCCCGATCTTCCTCAGCTCCACACAGCCCCCAGGAGCCTCTTGCTCTCCCCTTTAAAGTTCAAGGCCCCAGCTCCCTCTAGCGGAAAGGAGCCTCTGACCTTTTGGCTCAGTAGGTATGAGGCCGACTTTGAATAAGGTCCAAGAAAGCCTCCCACCTGCCTCTGGGGAGGAGGCCAGGACGGGGTGGGAAGAGGGACCTGGGTTCTTTGTCTGGACCTGGGCTGCCCAGTGCCCCACTGGCTGCAGCGGCTAGAATGTCAATCGCTCCCCAGCCGCCTGCCACCCCCTCCCAGCCCCGAGAAGGCAGCGGATCCATCGTTTTGTCTTTCCCAGTTCTGTCGATGTCTCCTTCGGGGAGCTCGCTCGATGACGGCTCCAGAAAGCCGCACGGAGCAGAGAGGCCAGAATTAAAACGGCCGCGCAGAGGGACCCCTGCGGACCCCCACTTTCCAGAGGCATACGGATCAGAAGGCAGAAAACGCTGCGTCTGTTCCGCAGACGTCGATGGTCTTATTCATCGTCCTCCGCCCGGCTCTCGCCCCCGCCTTCTCCTCTTCTTTATCCGCGCTCCACGCGATGCTGCCAAGAGCTCCTCTCATCTGTTCTGCACAGAGGCCTGGGGATGAAAGGGCTGACAGGTGTCTCGTTGCCAGTCGCCAGGCACGGGGCACTGTAAGCAAGCTGCAGACCCGCGGCTCTCGGGCTCTGCCCGCAAAGGGGCGAGAGGAGCGAGGGCAGCAGCGGGAAGGCGTGGGGCCGCCCTGCCGCCCCGGAGGGCTCCATCTCCCCTGGAGCCGCAGGCCCGGGACGGGGTCCCCACCGCAGCATCACTTGGGGCGCAACCTCCCAGACCTCGGTGGAGAAAACACGGCCCCGACTCCTCCCTTCCTCCCAGGGTCAGTGGGCATCAGGCTCGATGGTGGGTGTGAACCCCCCCGCGGAGGTGCTCCCCGCCTCCCACACAGTCCCTCGGGCTCAGCCCCACCTGGCGTGGTGCACGCAACACCTCTTTTTTCCCTTCTTCTTCTCCTTCCCTTTCCACCCGGAGCCCTGAGCCCTCCGTCCCCACGTCTGTCCCACCTCTGCTCTTAGAGGATGGACGCACAGTCTGAGGATGCCGCAGTTCCCAGCCCCGTCTGCCTGTCACTCACCCGTCCTCTCCGGGGAGCATTTTCCTTGACTGCAGAGCTGGTCACGGAGCCCTGCACCCCTCACCGCGTCCTCGACTCCACCCCGAGGTAGGGAATGCCTAATGCCTGCACTGGACTGAAAAAATGGCTGGCCTGGGGAGACGTTGGGTGTACAGCCTCTGTGTTTTTGAAACCATGCCCCCCACCCCTCCGCCAGCAGATTCAGGGGCTGGTTACCTCCAGTCTCCTGCCGGCCTGGGCCTCCACCCTAACCACCCTCTCGGGTCTGATCCACTCACCCGGCGCTGCTCGGCACGATGCGGGAGGAGGGGGTCCCAGCACCCCGCCCTCCATCCTCCGGGAGAGGAGTCCTGTGTGTCGGTGGAGACACAGCTCAAATGCGTTTTTCCCTTCCGTGTCCTGGACTGGAAAACCACATCTGTGCACAGATGTGCGCTTTTCTTACCACGTGGGCGTGCCTGTGCAACCCACACGGCCAGGCCCACACGCTCCCGCCTCAGGCTCGTGTACTTGCCTGTGTGTGACACCCACACCTTGAGAGCAGGCATGTGCCCACGCGTGTGTTCACAGGGGCCCAGGCAGCCCCGCGTACAGGCCTGTGGGCCACGCCGGCGTGTGAGCGCGGACGTGCCCGCAGGTGCTCCTGCCTCTTCGGCACGTGAGGAACGAGACAGCCCCCTTGTTACCATGTCACCTTATTAAACACGCGGCATGTTAATAGCGCCTACGAAGTCGGTTATGAAAAGCTCTTTATTAAAAATAATAAGAAATGGCCCTCGTGTTCCACAACTTCTGAGCCGCGTTTGGCCGCTCAGGCTGGCAGGTTATTAAAGTGGGATCAAGCATCTTTAACGTGCCTTCTGTGGCAGCTGCTTGGTGGATCTGCCTCATTACCGGCTGGCTGGCCCCAGCTGCGTCAGTCTCCGCCGCTCGGCCCCTCAGACACGGGGCCAGGGGACCGGGAGGAGGCTGGCGGGGAGGCAAAGGCTCCGTCCTGCGGTCCGACCTCCCAGGGCTGCTCGCCGGGTGATGACATGGTCCCCTGTACCGACCGGCCCCCTGGACCCGGCGGGTGAGGGTGGGGCTCGCAGGCAGGCTGCCGTCCCAGAAGAAGTACCTGAATCCCAAGTGATGCCCCCTTCCGGAGCATCTCCTCCCTCCTCTGTGGGTCTGAAATGACCACAGAATCCCGTCTGTCATTGACCTCTTGATCCAGGAGACAGCAGCTCCCAGGGCAAAGGTGAGTCCAGACGGTGGGGACGAGGATCCGTCCAGCGCTTCCCAATCTTGGTTGCGGACACGAACCCCCTGGGACCTCGCTAAAGGGCAGACGCTAATACGCATTTCTTACAAGACCCCAGGGGTGCTGGGGCTCCTGGTCCACGGCCCACTCTCTGAGGAGCGAGGCCCCGGGTGCCTCTCGGAGATGGTTATAAGGACATGGCCTCGAGGGCCAAAGCTTCCAGCTCACTGTGCACGGGGTTTGGTGCCACCCTCAGAGAGAGAGCTCCGCTAGGCCAAGGGGCTACGTCTGCTGTTCCCCACTGCCTGCCTCCTCTTGGCGTCCCAGCTGGGGCTCTGCTCACAGGGCTTCCTGGACTCCAAGAAGGGGAGCCAGGCACACTAATGGCCACTGAGCACCTACTATGTGCAGAGCACTTTCATGTAAGTGCTACTACTATAGTTGGCAATGCGACTGTTGTGCCCATTCTCAGAAGAAACTGAGGCTCAGAGAGCACAGTTGTTTGCCCAAGGACACCTGGCTCCGTGGTGTCAGACCCAGACTTTGGTCCTAGGTATGCAGGTCAGTCCTGCTTTTCCCCCCCAGAGCAGGGCAGGGATGCCCCTGCGGTGTCCTCTCCACCTCTCTGCCAGCAGCCGCCTTCTCAGACCAGAAACGGAAGACATGGAGGCGGGAACCATCAGCCTGCCTCTTTACTTTCTACAGCATCCACTCCCTGGTGAGCCCCTGACCCCTCTACCAATGTTAGTTGCAATTGTAAACGTGTCTCCCGATCTCTGGGAGATGCTCAGGCAGGCACACAGAGGCTTGGTTTGTGGATAACTTTCAGGGTGTGAGGTGCCTTGTTTAGCCAGGCAGCTGGAGGCCAAGAAGGAGCCTTTACCAGCGTCCTCCTTGCCCCAGCTGCCAGAGGAAAGAAGATACGTGTAGTGGCAACAGCGAAGCTTACTACATGCCAGACACTTTACATGGATCATCTCTCTTCTCCCCAAACCCTTAATATGTAACTATTTTATTCCTTCTTTCAGAGGAAGGAACCAAGGGTCAGAGAGATTAGGTTATTTGCTGGAGGACACACAGCCAATAGCATCACTGACCCAATGGACCTGAATTTGAGCAAACTCTGGGAGATAGTGGAGGGCAGAGGAGCTGATCTGGACTTTGTTCCCAGGCAGCCCAGCTACAGGGCACATGGATTTCACCATGCTTCACAGGGATACGTGAGCCTGAAGGAGGTCTACGGGAAATCCTGGCCCATGTTTCGAATCGCAGAATCACATGATTCTGGGGCTGGAAAGGGGTTACAGGGCCCTGAGTACTTCCTTCTCATTTTACAGATGGGGAGGCTGAGGCCCAGGGGGAGGGACCCTTGACTCAGGTCCCACAGTAAGTTAACTGGAGAGCCGGGACTCCAATCCAGGTCTCCTCCCAGGCAGCACGGTTGCAACCTCGGGCAGTGTTACCAGGATCCTCTTGGGGTGCGGTTACCCTAAGGCAAGCTGCCGTCTTCTAGGAAAACCAGAAAGCAGCTTGGCCTCTGCTTAGCACAGAGTTTGGCACATCAGCATTCCAGGGCTGAGTCATGACATCATTTTCATTCATACTGCTTCTCCTCTGTCCTGGGTTTGGGGTGACACACCCCACCCCAAGTTCAGGCTCTCGATCTCCCTTAGGTGCTGGTCCAAGGTAGCCAGGATATTGGTGAAATGTAAGAAGCCAGCTTTTAAAAAGAGAGCTGTGAGCCCGCTCAGGTATTCCTAGAATGTTCTCGGGTGTGCCCTTCAAAGGAGACGCTCGCCAGCCGTCTCATCCATTAGTGGTGAGAGCGTAAATAGATGCTACTTCTTTGGAAGGTGATTTGACACTAATATCAAAGTTTGAAATGCACAGATCTTTCAAGCCATCCATTCCAGAGCTGGGAATTTACCCCTTAGACTTTTTCTTGTATTTGTGTTTAAGATAAACACACACGCTCATGTATGCCTCCCAAAGGCAAAAATATTTACTCAGCATTATTTACAACAGCGAAAGAGTGAAAACCAGAATTGCCATGAAGAAGGAATTGGTAAGAAGGTCTAGTTCACGTGTATAAGAAATCTCTGCCTGGTCAAGGTGACAGGCTAACAGCACACCTCTGGAGCCCAGGCCTCTGGGTTTCCATTTCCGCCCTGTCCCTTACCGTCTCTGTGAATCTGGATGAGTCATTGAACCTCTCTAGACCCATTTTGGTATAAAATGTGGTGATTGTAGGACCTGCTTCAGAAAGTCTGGGAAGATTAAATGAGTTAGCACATGCTGGTCACTTGAATAACACGTGACCTACAATAAGCGCTCAAATAACAGACACTCTTCCTATGATTGTGGGACTGTTGAAAAAAATGAGGTAGCTGCATGTGTTGATTAAGAAAGATCTCCAAGCCATTGTTAAGTGAAAAAAGCAAGATCCAGAATAGTGTAAAATGATTCTTTTAGTGTGAATTTAAAAAAATAATTAATGCTTTTCTGTAAAGTTTAGGTATTCTAATCATTGTGCATATTACCTTTCTTTTTTGGGAATGTTCAAAAAATGGTATCCAGGCCATAGGGATTAAGAGCCTCTTCTGTTTTTGTGTTGAAAAATCAAATACATGTGTAATGTACACTTTTTAATTTTTAATTACAGTAAAAACCGCCTAACATGAAATCGACCATGTCAACCATTTCTAAGGGTACATGCATGCTAAGCTGACTCAGTCATGTCCAACTCTTTGTTACCCCATGGACTGTAGCCCACCAGGCTCCTCTGTCCATGGGATTCTCCAGGGAAGAATACTGGAGTGGGTTGCCATTTCCTTCTCCAGGGAATCTTCCCAACCCAGGGATGGAACCCACATCTCTTACATCTCCTGCATTGGGAGACGGGTTCTTTACTACCAGCGCCACCTGGGAAGCCCCTAAGTGCACAGTTCAGGAGTATGAAGTATATTCACCTACTGTGCAACTGATCCCTAGAATGTTCTCATTTACCCAGCTTTCTTTATGGTCCAACTCTCACATCCACACATGACCACTGGAAAAACCATAGCTTTGACTAGATGGACCTTTGTTGGCAAAGTAATATCTCTGCTTTTTAACATGCTATCTAGGTTGCTCATAGCTTTTCTTCCAAGGAATGAGTGTCTTTTAATTTCATGGCTGCAGTCATCATCTACAGTGATTTTGGAGCCCAAAGAAATAAAGTCAGCCACTGTTTCCATTGTTTCTCCATCTATTTGCCATGAAGTGATGGGACCAGATGCCATGATCTTAGTTTTCTGAATGCTGAGTTTTAAGCCAACTTTTTCACTCTCCTCTTTCACTTTCATCAGGAGGCTCTTTAGTTCTTCTTCACTTTCTGCCATAAGGTGGTATCTTTTGCATATCTGAGGTTATTGACATTTCTCCCTGCAATCTTGATTCTAGCTTATGCTTCCTCCAGTCCAGCATTTCTCATGATGTACTCTGCATATAAGCTAAATAAGCACAGTGACAATATACAGCCTTGACATACTCCTTTTCCTATTTGGAGCCAGTCTGTTGTTCCAGTTCTAACTGTTGCTTCCTGATCTGCATACAGGTTTCTCAAGAGGTAAGTCAACTGGTCTGATATTCTCATCTCCTTCAGAATTTTCCATAGTTTATTGTGATCCACACAGTCAAAGGCTTTGGCGTAGTCAATAAAGCAGAAATAGATGTTTTTCTGGAACTCTCTCACTTTGTCGATGATCCAGTGGATGTTGGCAATTTGATCTCTGGTTCCTCTGCCTTTTCTAAATCCAGGTTGAACATCTGGAAGTTCACGGTTCACATACTGTTGAAGCCTGGCTTGGAGAATTTTGAGCATTACTTTGCCAGTGTGTGAGATGAGTGCAATTGTGAGGTAGTTTGAGCATTCTTTGGCATTGCCTTTCTTTGGGATTGGAATGAAAACTGACCTTTTCCAGTCCTGTGGACACTGCTGAGTTTTCCAAATTTGCTGGCATACTGAGTGCAGCACTTTCACAGCATCATCTTTTAGGATTTCAAATAGCTCAACTGGAATTCCATCACCTCCAACAGCTTTGTTCATAGTGATGCTTCCTAAGGCCCACTTGACTTCACATTCCAGGATGTCTTTCTCTAGGTGAGTGATCACACCATCGTGATTATCTGGGTTGTGAAGATCTTTTTTATACAGTTCTTTTGTGTCTTCTCGCCACTTCTTCTTAATATCTTCTGCTTCCATTAGGTCCATACCATTTCTGTCCTTTGTTGGGTCCATCTTTGCATGAAATATTCTTTTGGTATCTCTAATATTCTTTAAGAGATCTCCAGTCTTTCCCATTCTATCGTTTTCCTCTATTTCTTTGCACTGATCACTGGGGACAGCTTTCTTACCTCTCCTTGCTAGTCTTTGGAACTCTGCATTCAGATGGGTATATCTTTCCTTTTCTCCTTTGCCTTTTGCTTATCTTCTCTTCACAGCTATTTGTAAGGCCTTCTTGGACAACCATTTTGCTTTTTTGCATTTCTTTTTCTTGGCGATGGTCTTGCTCCCTGTCTTCTGTACAATGTCACGAACCTCTGTCCATAGTTCATCAGGCACTCTGTCTATCAGATCTAATCCCTTGAATTTATTGTCATTTCCACTGTATAATCATAAGGATTTTATTTAGGTCATAAGTGAATGGTCTAGTGGTTTTCCCCACTTTCTTCAGTTTAAGTCTGAATTTGGCAATAAGGAGTTCATGATCCGAGCCACAGTCAGCTCCCGGTCTTGTTTTTGCTGACTGTATAGAGCTTCTCCATCTTTGGCTGCAAAGAATATAATCAACC